TCTATCCTTTGCTCATAATTGCCATTCCCTATATGCGTATTCTGTAATGCTGACAATTCGTCTCTGGTTTCAACTTGTAGGCCAGAGATACCACCAGAACGACCACAAATCACTCTTACCAGATCTGGCGGTCAAGGGGGTAAAGTTACTCTCATTCGCGAGCCCCGTTTTCCCCCTACTGAGGAGAGCAAAGGCTTTGATTCCGGGTGGAGAGAACTCTTGCGTTTACAGCGTCTACTCCTAAATGCGCCTGATCTACCAGAAGTCGAGCCCTTTGTAATGTCCTCGTCACCGCCCAATGTCGCCGAGAAAAGCCCTCCCAAAGTGCCTGCCAATCACAAACAGCGTAAAGGTCAGCAGCAACAGCCGCACCAATCACTCATGATGTTAGATGAAGCTATTGTTTGCGTTACCGCCTCCGCACAGCCTACCTCCAATGGACACCAATGATTGAGCTATCGCAGAATTTTGAAAAAAAACCTCAGGATTACGTGTACGCAAGTATGTGGAATCTAGCAGCATGAAAGTTGGACAACCCACCTTCCCTACTGTCAATGCTCTGTCATCTTCCCGCAGTGCCCTCCTATTCTTTTCACCTCTTATCAAGCCAGAGTTTTGCGGACCGCGCTGACTGTTTTGAAGGACTTGTGTTGAATTATCCGGAAGAAAATTTTTACCCATTCATCTATTTTGTCTTGTGTCTTATTGAATGCAAATTGTGTTCCGCGACAATTCCTATAGGCAGTAAAAAGCTCCACTGCTTGTAGAGCTTTGTCTAGTTGCTCTCCTTGAACGCCTGCCCTATAGCCGTCACTGGTTGACCATCTCAACGCCGTCGCTGTCTACAGCTGGATTTGAAACAAATATAATACCGGCGTGCAAGTGTCGCTCATTGGATGTGATATCCACAAAATGATCACGAAGTTGCGCAAGTTTTATCTTCGGTGACACCGCTTCTTACCCAATAAGAGGAGGTTTAACTTTGCCCCTCACAGCGATTATGGTTGTCGTTCGTAGAGCCGTGGTGGACACATTTCTCAACACTTGCACTGATGCCGTTTGAGCTACATGCTAACAGAAACTCTTCAGACGGGCTGGCAAGATATAAAGCAATGTTGGCATAAGGTCTCTCACCTTTTAGCGTGTGATTGCCAGTTCTTTCTTCTCGGGGACTGGCTTGCTGACTT